AAAAGAATAAAGGAAAGCAGAAAAACAAAGCCACGATCAAGAAAAGAATGCATATTGAAGACAATATGAACTTCTGTAACCGTTACACAAGTTAGGAAAACTAGTCTTATTAGGATTTTGTCGTTATGATATCAACTGAAGTATGATCAAATAGCATAGAAAGAAAGAGTATTTTTTTCTCTATCATCCTATGTAACAAGAAACTTTTACAAAGCTTAATATGTGGTACTAAAATGTCGTTGCCACTACTTTTGGATACCCCTATGTAGTAGTCTATAATTGATTTATCGTTCCATATAGTTTTCGTTTCTTTAGGTGAAACAGAATCTGAACAGAAGTGGATATTTGATGATAGTTGAACGAATATCTTGTCATATTGTAAAGATTTGTCTTTAAAGGAAAGAAAACACTGCATGACAACGATAACTCGATTATTATTCTACAATTTTAGGATAGTTAGTTCTCATTTAGTGATATCAAAATGTTTTATTTCTTGCAGACTTTTTGGACGACAGAAAAAAAAAGTATACAGCTAAACTATTGCGTTATGCACTTATTAATTTACCTAAATGTCTACCATGAAAGTTTTAATTCTGTGAAACTGCTAAGACAAAAATTGATTTTTTTTTAATGATTTTAGTGAGTATTTCAATTATAGGATCGATCAAGAAAGAATACCTTCATCGTACATTTCTCCAAAGAAAATATTTCCTAGACTCGTTTGAAAATAACATTTTTAACGCGAAAAATCTTTTCGAGATCATCTGTGACTATCGATAGAATTACTCATTTTGCAAGTTTGTTCGTTTTCTTACTTTGAATAAGTAGAAGTAGTGTTGTAATTTGCAGTCTTACTTTAATTACTTTGCCTTTCTCAAAAACAGAAATTTAACGAAAGATAAAAGCTATTGACAAAAAAAAGCACATGATAAGTTAAGAAAGAAAAGAACACAACGTTATCGAGCATAAGACTAAATACAAGTTTCATTTTGATGTTCGTCAAATATTTACTTATTTCAAAGTTAAAGACATGAGTCAAAGTAAAATAAAATGTGTTATCTTTTGATCAAATAGAGAAACCATACAACTATTGTTGCATTTAGCCGACATGGCAAAGAAACTATCGAAGTCTTTATTCTTTTTCATGTACAATGAAAATTAGAAAAATTACTCCAGTGATATTTATTAGTACTTCGAAAAAATTAATAAGTTCATGTTTGATGACATGTGAATCGTTTGACGTTTTTTTAATGGATAGATTTTGTAATAGAAAGGCATAGATAACACCAATGATGCATACGTTGTAAATACTCCGAATAGAAATTCTCGATGTTTGTGTCAAACCATTGAAAGAAGATTTAGCATATACAACAAATAGTAGATACCAAAAGTCATTGATTGGTACTATCCAATATTTTTCTTCGCTCAAAAATGAATGATAAACGGAGTTAGTATTCACACTAGACAGACAATAAAGATTTAGAACATTGTTACCTTAGGGAAAGGCATACACAAACAAATACAGAACACTACTTGTACTTCTATAAAAAAAGTCAACAGACTATAAATGATAGATAACAGATCTACGACAAGAAGATTTTTGTTCAGTCGACACTCATATTTGTTTTCAGTAAGAGTAATAAGTTTCCATAATTGATTGTAATGAGACGTTTCATAAACTTTGTCAGAAAAAAGGCTGGAGTTTGGGTGAGTATGGGTGAAGCTGTTAATGTTGGAAACTTCTCTTCACCTACACTTACACCCGCACACGTATTATTTATAGACTGCTCTGATTTTTCATGAGAATAATTGAGCATTGTTTTAAAATCATAGAAAAAAAATAGAATATCCACAAACACGTGCGACTAGTTTTTTTTCCTTTATATGTGCAGGATTGTGTCGGTTTCTATCATATATTTGTCTAAATCGTTTAGGTATTATTTTTTCCAACCTTCAAATCTGATTTTGATCCGTTTGTGCTGTATCATAGTTATTGTTAAATGTTTTTCTTTCGTGTTTCTAAGACTTGTGCGATCATCGAAATCTACAAAGATTTTTTCTTCTGTTCATGATTATTTTTATATAATCAAGAAACTCATCATCGGTTGAGTGTGAAGAAATGTTTTTTACATCACTAATACTTTCATCACTTTAAAGATCTGTTGCTGATTTATTTGACGATAGACTTCTTTGATATATAGAAATTACGTTATTTTCATTTTCGTCTGGCGTAAATTAACCTTGGAATTGATGAAGACTACATCATCGAAAAAGACCAAAAAATCGATGCAAGACTGGTTATATCAAAGTTCTATATGCTTAGAAGAAAGACAAGTCGAACAGTTAGACAACGAAAAATTGACTCCATTTTTTAATCATCTTGCATATGAATAAATCATGCTGACTGAATATAATTGATTGAAATGCGAAATAGTCTGCTTGCCTTCACTGTTAATCTTAAGACACTTTTATATTTATCATTACGATGAAGATATCCTTATGTTTGTCTCTGTATTTACTAATTTTTCTTAGACTATATAAATAAATAGGTTATGTATCTAGATTCAAAAAATTTCATTTCATTTTTTATTCTCGTCTATTTTGCAGTTAATTTTGCATATAATTCCTTAGTCAATACTTTTAATCAATCATGTTATTTGATGACTTACTTTTTGCAATGAGTCGTAAGACAATGTTACAGCATACTCAATTATAACAATTTCTTATCGAGGAGAAGAAAATAAAGATTACACTTTATGATGACAATATTCAAATAGAAAAAAAAGTATTTTTATGAGTTTTATTAGTTTACTGAATAATTTTGATAAACTACATCATCATCCTCAAAAAATATTTCAATTTTGAACAAGATTATTTTAATAACCCAATCGTTTGTATACACGTTGAAATGTGTATGCTTTTCGTTTATTTTTCTCTTTTACATATAGTAGTATCCAATTCTTTCTTTGTAATATTTTCATTTCTATTCAATCATAGCGTGACATATCTTTCGTATAACCAGTTAAGAATTAATATAGATAGTCGATCGGCAGCCCAGGCAAGTGATTAAATAAGAATTAATCTTTAAACTTTTCGTGTTTCTATCGAATATGGGTGTAGGCATATGAGTTCTCTTTCCTCAATCTTCTACACATACCCTTTAGTAACCAGTTACATAGTCGTTATGGTGTCAAATATTGTTATTCATCAATAATTAATTCAAAACATGATTATTTTTCATAGCATGACAAAAAATCGTGCAACTGTATTATATTTAGCTAGAATATAAATCAAAGAAAAATAAATCATGTTGTTGTAGGTTCGACAGTCGTTGTTAATGATGAACTAATGTTAAAAATTGACAAAAAGGAATAGAGATATTTTAGAATATGAGAAACTTACATCGAGATACACAAATTTTCCATTGCAAACTCAGATGAACCAGTAGTTGAAAAGGTAATCTTATCAATATTCAAATAGTTTAATTCAATTAATTGTGGCCAATGTGTGTATAATGGATATGTTGCAGAATACCATACTTTTGATGAACGTTCTCCAATCATAGTTAATCTTAACTGATTTTGAATAGCAGAAGTAGCAATAAATGAATATAAATTAAACTTATATGGTGGACTACTACTAATTGTCATTGTTGATCCTTTTTTATTGTATGCAATATATCCACTTTGAAGTGCCGTATAGAAACCACTTGTATAATAAGATGGAAAAGCAGTTAAATTCATTATATAAAAATTTTTCCATTGTAAACCAATGTAATCAGAAGGTATTTCATCTACAGGTTCACTTGTTATAGTATCAAACGTAATTAGATTTGAATCAGAACAATCTACAAATTAAATATTGTTCAATTGTTTCCATAATATATATATATATATACATTATTAGAAGAAGAATTGATTATGACTGCACTATGTTGTATGCTACTTTCATCTTAAGAACTACTACTTATAATCCAAGCGTTAGATAAATAACAATCCTATATATCATAGATAGAATTTGGCAAAGGCTTTTTAATGGTTATGAGACGAAATTATTGAGTATTAAGCCATTACATCTAACTACTCAAAGTTGGTGTCTCATTCACAATTGCTCCATGTGATGCATAAGATGAGTTCTTCGACTAGAGATTCATTTTATCAAAATAGCCTCGCGTTTTCAGTGCTAGTTGATAATGTTCAGAAAATTGAACATTTCAAAACTAAACATATTTATAGAAGATTTTTCTAAAGAGCCGAAAAGTTTATTAACTTATGACTGAAATTCAGATACTGATATTAAATACTGAATTGCAAGAAATTCGATATTCCCATCTTACCTTGTGGAATAGGTGTTGTTGTTGTTGTTCGTATTGACGTTGTTACTGTTGTAGTTTCCTCTGAAATATTAAATCTTTTTCAAGGGGTTTTGTTTTTAAGAAATCTAATGTAACGTTTTAATTGAAAATTCTGGTAACTGCAACCTAAAGCCTTCTTTAAAATCTGAATATTTATTGTGTTTTGCTGCAAATAGGCAATGCATTCATTATACTAATCAATAAGATCTACACTAGTGACAAGACAGCAGACATTCATCATTTTAGAAATTTACAATTTATAATTAATACAATCATCATTCAATGTTTCAATTTGCATTGAGATACTGCATAGAGAATCTTTCTTTCGACAGTTATAATGTAAAACAATAATCATGTGGATTAATATCATATGCGTCTTTTCTTCGTTTTAATGAAAAAAAAAACGCTTCCAAGTACCAACAACACACTAATGTATCCTAAAATTGTATCTATCACTGTTAATATTCGCATTTCATTCGAATCATGTAGAATTTTTGTGCTGATTTAATTTTTCTTTTGAGAAAACAATAGAAACACTTACCTGTTGTCGCGATGCTCGTACTTGTGGCTGTTGTAGTGCTCGTCACTATTCATCAAGATGAAACATTTATATAAGCAAAAAAACAAAATCACTTTTAAGCAAATACAATGTATGATCTTATTATTAATGAAATCCTCAACTAGGAGCATGAATCTGACCAACCATTTTTTGTTTTCGCCAATACAAAATATAGTTCTCATAGAAAATAGACACCTGTCTTTTTTTTATACAACAAAATTTTTAATAAATATTTAGGTTCCATATAAATTGTTAAATATAATTCTTTTTTGTCTTACTTGTAATTTGTGGACACATTTGATGATCACTCATTGATAATGGATAGCAAACTGGAAGACTATGACATCGTGGATGACGAATACATATATGATTAGGCTCGTAACAAGTATTGTTTAAAGATTCACAGGAAACAAGTTCAGAACAAGTCACCCAGAGAAAACCACAAATAGCCATATCATCAGAGTCTGCTCTGTAAAGACATCCACATGCACTATTTGTCGAACATTGATCATATTGAGACTTTCCATTACATGTGTCAGAATTTATTCGAACAACTAAACAACTAAATAAATAATTGAATATGTAAAACAAAACATTCAACGTTGGAGGCATCAGAAAAATAAAGATTTTTTTTAATTACCTGACAAAAATCAATATGAAAAAGCGAACTGCTGTTCTACTCATCGATTCCATTGGTATGTGTGTTAGAATCGTAATGATATCTTTGTTTTTTTGTATGCTTCTAGAACAGAGACGATATTTGATACCAAATTTTTTTGAAAAGTAGAAAGCAAACGACTTAATTGTTTCGTAAAGACCAACTCAATATTGTTGCTACGAGTATGAGTGTATTTATAATCGATACCCACTCGACACTCATATCCTGTTATTTTATATCTACTTGGGTATTAGTGATATATACAACATAATAAAAACCTTGTACCATTTCTTAACTGTCGAATAAAACTTGAGACTGATCAATAAGCATCTTTAATTGGAATTTTTTTAGCATATTTTATTATAACTCAAAAGAATTATGTTTTCCTCTGTCGACTAACAATTAGAAATGTGATTATTGACTAATCATGATGAATAGTTTTCACATTGAAATCCTCGACGTGACGTTAAAATGGTTTTTTTTTGTATCAATGATCAATAAACTATTCAATGAATAGAATTGCTGCAAAAGAAAATATGACAAAGTATTCGTACATAAAACAACTTTCAAAATATTAATGAGTTTTAGGCTCAGAACAATGTGTTCTATAGAATAAAGATATTCTTTGTGTTAAATTCGCGATGAAATTGTTCATGAAATCATCAAATTTGTCGCGTTGATCTCCTTTTGCACCTATGATTCCATAATGATAATGCCGAAATTGGCCAAAGTTCGAGAGTCCATTATTAGCCAAAAATATGATTCCACGTTCAAGAGAATGAATATTTTGCATGAAAGGAACATTTCTAGGTCGAATAAATAATTTTGTTCGTTCGGAACAGTCTCGAGGTTCTGCAATTGACTTGCATTTTTGAAAAATGTTCAAATGACGACTTGAAAGTATTTCGTTTTCTGATAGAAAACATGATATTGGACAATTATAAAACTGTACTCTTTCAGGAAATTTTGTCTCTGGAAATGATTGATCAAGTAATTGAACGAATGATGTTTTTCCTGATAAAATAAGTTGTTCATTTGTATTGTTTAACTGAAAATATTCATCAACATCAAAATAATCCATCCATTTATTGAATGGACCAAAGTTTTTCAAAGCATGATTCATCGAAGCGCATTGAATCATGTTCCAATGTTCGTTTACAATGGGTTTAAAAGGTTATTTGATAATAGTAACAATATTTTGATCTAGATAATATTTAAGAAATATATCGATACGATCTTCACTCAAATTATCATACAAATAAAAATGTTCAATGCCAATCATTCGATGATATTCAATTCAATCGATTATTTCATTTCGTTTATTACGGATCATAGTATAGATTGATATTGCATATTTTGCTCTATGATAAACACGAACTTGTTTAGATGTACTACTGACAAATGTTTTATTTTTTTCGTTTTCATGTTTTATCCTAAGAGCAATATTGAAATGATGCCGGCCATTGTGTATTGCTAATAATTCGATTTCTGGTAATACACATGTTAATAATGGTTCCCTAGATTGACGATCGATTATTCCGAAGGTTGTTATATTGGACCAGGGAAAGTAGCACATAAACTCTGTCCATGTAATATGTTTTCTATAAGCACTTATATATAATGTAATCGATCGAGAACGAAACGGATCTCCATTTAGTACTATATCCAAAATTCGAAAGTGCAATATTTCTAATGTATTGGTTTCCATCAAAGGTAAATTTCGAACCATGTACGACGGTTTGATCATTTGTGGTTTTGATGTTGACCAAAGTAAAAACATATAGACCAAAAGACTGACACACTATAATATCACCAATAAAATGAGAAAATAATGATGAGCAGAATTGGTCATCATTTTCTCCACCATCATTATTCTAATTGGCAGACTTTACGATGATTGAATATTTCAATTGTAACACATGCTAACTGATTATTTTCATTATTCAAACGAAATGTAACAGTGTCAAATTCATAATAGTAAATGAAACTTTGTATTGGAGCTATCGCAGAATAAATAGTGTCATTTGAAATGGAATCTTTCATTTGGAAAATACGTATGATTGTTCTTCAATGAACACTCCCCTCGTATATCTGATGGTTTTCTTAGGCAAAAAGTAATGTATACACTTGCATTATTCTATTTGCCAATATTTTTGCTTGAAGTTCAGTCATTCGTAATGAAAATATTTGTTCCTATTGATAGAAATTTGAGTTATGGATTGCGCATGTCGAGTTACTAGAATTTTAGGAAAGCCGCAAAAACCTAGATTTTAATTGGCAGTCGCCATCATTTTTACCACAATATTTCAGTTTCACAAAAACAAAGTATAGAATAATTATTGGCAATCTGATCATTACATTCATACACACAAATAATATTACATTTATTACTAGATGATTCAAATCACGTTCCAATAGGTTTAACTCGTAAAGAAAAAATATATGAATTATTCAGTATCACTCTTGATAATAAAGTCTGTATATTAATGACGAGGAAATCTTATAATTACAACGAAACAGGGATGTTATGACAGAATATCAGAGAAAACAGTGTACATGAATTTTTTATTTGACCTTTCTACTGAATATTGTCGGTCTTTCCTCAAGAGAAAGACTTCTTTGTCATATGGCTCGAATCCTTATCGATTTCACTGCCATTTCCTCTACATTATTCTTGTTATTCGAAATCGATAATTTCAATATGCTTGAGAATATATATTCACTGAAGTTTAAAAACAAATGAAACTTATCAATTTCGAACACATTCATAATTTAATAAGCCTTTTGTTAAAAGATACTATTTAACATCTATAAGCAGTTCTCATATTGTTTTCCTATTTTCATCTCTTTTCGATGCAGTGTATGATTTATAACATGTAACCATGCTGCAAGGAATACTAAAAAGTTGATTGTTTAATTTTGTTCAAGAATGAATCAATAATTTTGAAATGTAGGAGACACGCGATCATATTTACTTAGCATAAATCCGTACACAATGATAATGTCAGTGAAGAAAACTATCCATCTATAACCAATGTCATCGACTTATCTGAATCTATCGATCTTTCGAATGGATGAAAAATATCTAATTCGACGACCTTCTTAAACGATATAGCTGCAATTACTAACAAGAAAATCTTCTCCAATAAGAAAAAGTTCTTTTGAACATTGTGGAAGGAATTCTGTTTTGTGTAACGATTTTTCTCACGAAGAAGATCCTCAAGTTAAATCCTAGAGCAGAATATCTAACCAATTTCAAACCATAGTTTGAGTAATGAGTGATTCTTGCCGAAAAATGATGGCACAACTATGAAAAAGAAATGAAACTTTGTATGCTCTACAGAATCGTCTACGCTACTTATAAAAGATTGCATGTTACAAGCATATGTCAGAAAAATTGCGCTGCTAGAGGTGTCCAGGAATCGGCGAAATCGCAACTGCTAAGAATCACGAAAATTGTAAAATATCTTAGTCGTTATCATTACTAACAATAGTATATGGAAGGCTTTCAGCCGCCATAACACAAAACAAAGTACAATAATTTTCGATATCCGCGATTAACTTTCAGTCATCTTGTTTAATATCTGATCATTGGAACTTGTCAGTCGAAGACGTCCATGGCAGAAAAACAATTAACTATAAGTCAATTGCTACTGTTGATTATTACATCGTTTCAAACCTCTTTTCACACTACTATCATGGCAAAGATGTTGTTTTCAATGTCATTAAATGTCATCAATCATTCTTCTTCTTTTATCATGTCCTTCAAACAGATGGGTGTGCACATTTAAAAATATTGACATATCGACATGTTACGACAGAAATGTGTTTGGTATAAACAAAGTGAACTTGTAGAAAAAATACACTCTATTAGTTGAAGAACGCAAAAAAATAATAATAAATGCGTCTATCATGATGTGCATTAAAAATTATATCGATGCCAAGCTACCAGGACAACCAATTCAAGAAAAACAACCAATAGAAAAAAAAAGACAAAATAACAAATTCAATCCGTAAAATACCATAGTTTCTTCCTTACATTAATTATCATCGTAATATATCATTGTATTGTAGTGAAAGTTTCTTATCAAACGAAATTGTGTGTGACTGAATTTCAAAATATTAAAAATTGTATGAATGACCACTATAGGAACATCACCCATCATTGAAGAAAATCTTGAAACGTTCTCTCTTCTATGGCTTGATGCTTCAGTCAATGATACACAAGAAAATATCGATGCTCAACATCAACTTCGAACATCGATTAACTTTTTGAAAATATTTGAAGATGCTGATAAATGCGAACAATACATTCGATCAGTACCTAAAGATGATCGTATTGTATTTATAGTTAGTGGTCGATTTGGTGAAATCATAGTACCTCGTATTCATTCATTACGACAAGTCTCTGCTATTTATGTCTATTGTAAAGATAAGAAAAGAAATGAATTATGGTCCCATGAATTAAAAAAGGTTAATGAACCTAAGAAACATATCAAAATAATTTTTTCTTGGTTTCTTTAGGTCAAAGGTGTAATAGTTTTATTAGATGAACTCATATCTCAAATTCGATCTGATCAAGCACGACGAAATCGAAAGAATGTTGATGAACCTTTGTCAATGAATTTTAGTAATACAAATACTAATAAACATGAACAATCCACGAGTGATCTTAGTGGTCAATTTATTCATTCTCAATTATTGATTGATTGTCTTATACAAATGAAACCAACTTCAAATGAAAAAAAAGAATTCATTTCTCTGTGTCAACAATATTATAAAGGTAATACAATGGAATTATCACTTCTTAATGAATTCAAAAAATATTATTCCTCTGAACGAGCTTTATGGTGGTATACACGAGAAGCATTTCTCTATCGACTTGTAAATAAAGCACTTCGTGTATTAAATATTGATTTACTTTTTTTGTGTCGATTTTTTATTCGTGATATTCAACAACAATTAGAACAACGAAAATGTTCATCATTTATTCATGTCTATCGATGTCAATTAATGTCGAATGAAGAAGTTCAATTATTAAAAAATTCTATTGGTAAATATATTGCAATGAATTCCTATCTATCGACAAGTGTCAATCGTCGTCAAACTCTTTCATTTCTCGATTATTCAAGTGATCTTGAACTAGTTTTATTCGAAATTGATGCTGATCCTCAATTGAAAGGTATCAAACCATTTTCTAATATTACATCATATAGTTATTTTCCTGAAGAAGAAGAAATTCTATTTACGTTGGGATCAATTTTTCGAATTATTAGTGTTAATCGTGATGACGATGAATTATGGACTATTCGAATGGTACTTGTTGGTGATGAACATCAGGATTCAAACTCGATTATTAATCAAATGAAGAATGAATATATGCAACAAGAAACGAACATTATTACATATGGTAATATATTACGTGATATGGGCAAACTAGATGAAGCCGAAAAATATTATCGACATTTTCTCAATCAATCTTCAAATAATTCTCAAGATATTGCTAATTGTTATTATTCATTAGGTACGGTAGCAAGTGCAAAAGGAAAATATGATGAAAGTCTTCAATGGCATCTTGATGCACTTTCAATCAAAATGGATAAATTAACTGCAAACGATCCGAATATAGCATCGAGTTACAATTGTATTGCAATTGTTTATCGAAAAAAAGGCGATTATCGGCAAGCACTCAAATCATATGAAAAGTCTTTGACGATTTGGGAGAAAACATTTGGTGAAAATCATCCTAAAGTAGCTATGTGTTTAAATAACATAGGTGCAGTTTATGAAGATCAAAAAGATTATTCCAAGGCACTTGAATATTATCAAATGGCATTAGACATAGCACAAAAACATATACCTATTGATCATCGTGCTTTAAGTGCGATACATAACAATATTGGTAATGTATATTGCATGCTCAATGATTATGATCATGCATTAGAACAATACAATGAAGCATTTCGAATCAAATCAAAAATTTTACCAAATCAACATCCAAGTCTTGCAACAGCACTTCGAAGTATTGGTATGGTTTATGAAAAAAAAGGTGCGATACAAAAGGCACAAGAATTTTATAAACAAGCAGATGATATCAATTCTGTGATATAAATTTCAGATACTCATTTTCGAAATAATCGAAAAAAATCAAAGAGCATGTTTTATTGATATCAAATTAAAATTTTTCTAATTGAACAGTCATTTTATTTTTTATATTAAAAGAGGATTGATTGATAAATTATTAGAAAACTATCTTTTATTTGATGTAAATCTAATTTTTAGCATGATCAACAGTCACGATTTTTTGTTTTAGTATGAAACGAAAAGTCTTCGTTTAATAGAAAATCCGACATAAATAGATTAGTTTGTTGATGAATTTTTCAACATATTACTATAAATCTTAGTATTTATTTCATGTCAAATAGAAGTAAATAAGCGTGCTGAGTCATTCATTTGAAATATATTTTTTATTTTGGTTACAATGAGCCTTCAAAAAAACAAAACTCGCCAGAATCTCTCATGAAAATAGATAAGCGACTATTATTGATTAATGATTTCCAAGGAACTAAATATTTCACACTTAATTATCCTCAACAAATGCTACTAATTATATTTTGCATATGATGATCAAAAACCAAAAGTTTTATAGGCGTTATTAAAACAATACTTCGAACTTCAATCTATATTAAAAAAAGAATAGTTTTCATGTTTATTCGTTTAATTTAAGACATAACAGTCTTCTATTAAAGAGAAAATGTTTTGAATAATGAAACTTTTTTATAATGATTTTTGCTTTTGAACAATTCAATCGAAGACAATGATCATATTGATTTCATAACTTGTGGTCAATTAATGACTTTTTATTTGCTATTTACATACTGCTCAATTATTTTAATAGTAAATGAGAATGTAAGAATTTTTTCAATTACATAAGCTATTATCTAAAACGGAACAGATCTCTTTAGTGAACATCACTTTCGATCATACAAACTATGTATTAAAAACAATATTATTAATTGTTTTGTTTGGCCGACAGTCAAGTGCTGTAAATTCAATACAAGCAGGTTGAATTGTCTTGTTAAGTCGATCAGAAATAGTTGGTTTATTGTTTGAAAATGCATGAAACAGATTCATACTTGTTTGAACATTGGACATCATCATTGTATTTTGTGTTGACAACTACAAATATGCCTAGAGAGTGCATTAGTACCAGAAAATGATTTATAAATAAATCTTTGTATTGATTGATCTTGTTTCCATAACTACAACTGAGACTATTCCATAAAGTTGAAGATTTTGGTGTTACTGTTGGTTTGACAAAGTAGAAAGGTGCTTCATATGAAAATAAATTCTATCTATTACAAAATCAGCTCATGATCTTCTCGCGTCTTCTAAATGCTGGTAATATTACTTTGTCTAAACGTTAGTACTCACTAAATATGAGATAGGACACTATAAATACTTGAATAGTAAAGGTTTCATTTGCAATAGCTATTCTAGAGTTCTGGTCAAAATTGTAGAATCAATGTAAAATTTTTTTGTGTTCTGTTTTTTCAAGCTTGACACAAAGAACTGGATTCTGAAGGTTATCATAAAAACTACTTTTTAAAAATGTTTTCGGTTTGACTTTATAATCAGACTTGAGTACCGAAGCTAAAATAGCTGAAAAATACCATCCAAGTTTTATACTCCAGCGAGAATTATTGAAATTGAAACGGAACTACTTTTTGTAATAATGTGAAATCGGATAGAAAACGCTTATAGCTAGGAAACAAAACATCAGAGAGTTGTGTAGATGAATTTTCCGTGTCGGGTTTTCTTTTATGAAGACTTATCGTTTTAATCGAAACTCAGTTAATCGCGAGCTTATTCATAATAGTGACAGTTTATCAGTTACCATAAAAAAGATTTATTAGACCTTTTCTTTCGATATACACATAGCTTTTGTAGTGAATATATAGAAATGTTCAGCGAGTAAGATAGAGATTCTACATCTTTTTCTGTGCTTGACTAGGTTATTTTTGTGCATCTTCATTCTACACTCTTTTTTTTCCGTCAATCATATATAATAAGCTTCACCATGCATCTACATTACGTAGTATAAAAGTTATTTCATCTTTTGTAGAATTATTTTCTTTTTTTTTTTTTGAAGAAAGTTGCTGATCAACATAGCTTTTTCCGATTTGGTATAAGCTATTAATATAAAGCTGTACTTTTATTTTTGAAATTATCTTTATGATATAAGCCAAAAAAATCTGCACTTATGTTTTGTGATAAATCGTCATGATTAAGACTCAAAAAAGGGATAATTTGAATTTTCTTTATTTAGCTTTGATCCAATGACTAATTCAATTGTAAGTATAAATTAATAAATTTGAGTTTATGTATTAATTTATAAAATAAATTAGATATAATGTACTTACTGAGTGAGAGAAGTTGTGAGATGACTGTGATCAAGAATCCCGTCGGTTAATCGACAGTTTTTGTCGGGTCGAATCGTATGGATCGCCTCTTGGATAATATGTCTATCGCATCTCGAACACTTGTTCTCCAGTAATACTTACTCACTGTAAACAATGAACAGAACTCGTTTTGAGCGTATGGAGTATGAATGTAAGTCTTCTCTTCGATAATATTCGTTCGAATACTCAGACATTAGCTCTATTTTTCTATTATTGTTGTTTATTTTTAGTTGTATAATATTTCTATGATTTGTATAATTAATACTATGTTTTGTTATTCTTATTAGTGATTTGCATATGTTAATTCAACAAATTTATATCTTGTACTTGTAATCAATAAAATTTCTGTTCATTGCTCATAAAAGGCAACTATTTAGAGTGAAACAGTCGTGAACTTCATCTCTTGGCATATTGTCTATGTTTTTCTCGTTACATATTATAAATCTATTCATTAATTGATATAGTTAAAAAAAGAAGGATTGCGCGTTCAATTGGAAGGTGCTTCGGCAGGGATCGAACCTGCAACGTTTTCGTTATTAGCAAAATAATCTACCGTTGATTTACAAAGCGAAGTAATCGAACAGCATAGCCTTCTTTCTTTAAATTATATGTGGAATATGTGTTATTTCACCTGTATTCACATTTGTATTGTGCAATTACATTTCAAGGATTTTTTTTTCTCTTAGTAATTTTAATTGAAATGAAATAAAGATTCGTTTATATTTACTATAAAATAATTCCAGTGAACATTTCTAAATTTGATATTCAACACTGTTAAGATTTCTTGATGTTTTTCGTATAAATTCTTATTTTTTGATTGTTTCTTCATCATAATATAGTAATCCAATAACTAAGATAGTTGAAAGTTAGTTTTGTCAAGTAAATTATTCCAAAAATTATGTTCAACAGTGTCAAACTTAAAAGTTGAATTTGATCATGCAATTTAATTACGATAGTATTAAGATTTTGCAGCACTTGCACTTATCGGCATGTTTTCACTAAGGTTTCTTATTATCAAGTAGGCTTACCAGTTGGAAAGGTAAAAGCAAAAAATTGAATATTCGAACAATTGGAGAAGCGTTTAATAGTTGTATCAAACATTCTAGTTAGATATTATACTGATATAACTATGTGTTCTAGGTAATATAGATTACGACTGAAGATATGACGTACTTACATTAATAGACATTATTATGAGGGGTAATACTTATGCTATTCTTTCAGTTTTGTCCTTAGCCTTCTCGTCAGCTATACTGGTGCACTTTCTTGTACTGCTTATCGCCCATCATCCTTACCATTGTATGACACGTGTCGCAACGAATATGCACTTTGAGTACAAAACGTGAACAGATGGAATATAAAGTATTGTACTCATTCATGTCATTCTATTTGTTATTATTAAATAGTTGGAAACAATGAATACGAACGCGTCTTTTGGTTGGCGATTGATAACAGTGTTATGCATTGTTTTACCGTTCATTGTTCAATCAAACTTGGGGACAATGGCAAATGATGGTTAGTTATATCGATATTATTGGGCTTGTTACTAGAAAAATGATATCGTACTATGATATAAAATTCATAAGGAAAATCATTTTTATTTAGAGATTTTCGACGTATATTGATCGTTACTTTTTTTAAGGCAATCAAGTAAAAATTGAGACCCGAAATCACGTCATCTACTTAAGAACAAATTTCTCTCTAGTGTATCAACGAATATTATACAAGAATAGCAAAGTATGAAATCAGATGTGTGAACTAGTAACTCTTGATTTTTTCATGTCTGACAATTGCATTTTTTTCTCTTGTACATAAGAAGAATGATAGCATTTAAAATACATATCACGTCATGCTATAGAAATAAAATGTAATTAATTTTCTTCATCTGGCAGGTAAGCAATAGCATACTGAATCATAATATCAAATGGATTATCTTGTGTCTCTACGATGCATATGTATCTTTACTCATGGCATGGATGTTGATGTACAAAAAGTGCTTTCATCTTTTTCGATTTCTGATGAGTTTTCAAAAACTGAATATTTGCTTTGCTAGTTGAGAACAAAAAAGAAGAGGATTATTCATTAAAGTATATTTTGTAGAAAAAAAAAATCTTGAAAAGGTTTTCTAGTATCAAGTGTTGTTTAATAATCAAACGTTTGTAGAAAAACTTTTAGGTCTGACTCTTTTTCGTCGAAATCAAAAATTTAATCTATAATTCATTATTAAATTGACTTCGTTTCAGTTATCTCATCTGATCTATATGATCTAAACGGCGATCCTCTTATGGTTTGAATTGTTTTCTGTCTTTAGTAGTTCTCGTGTTTACTTTTAAGATTTTTTCTCAGGCCGGTCCTCAACCTCCGTTTAATTCTGAATCACAAGATTCTCCTGGTCTTGAAAGTGAGATGGATCCAAAGCCTGACTATGGTTACACATCGTACAATGGCTCTGGGAAACTTGAAGGCAAGGTGGCCATTATTACAGGTATTAAAATCTTTTCATTCGTCTATGAAAAAGTTTCAGTAGCTTTGGAAATAACAACAAAATTCTTTTGCTATGATGATCATTTGCATTTGCAATAATGTTCTATCTAATGTATTTTTGAATGCAGGTGGTGATAGTGGAATTGGTCGTGCAGTTGCCTTAGCATTTGCTCGTGAAGGTGCTTCGATTGTCATCTCGTTTTTGAATGAAACTGAAGATGCCGAAGAAATTCAAAAAGTCATTCAAAACGAAGGACATGATTGTATATTGATTGTAAGTTACTTGTGTTTTTTGTCATATTTTGTGAAATTTTTTCTTTTTGTGCAGCCCGGTGATATCAGTGAAGAGGCTCAATGTCAAAGGATCATCAATGAAACAGTCACTCGATTCAAACGTATCGATATTCTTGTTAATAATGCAGCTTATCAAGGCAAACAAGTCGTAAGTTTATTTAAAAGTCGAGAAGAATAGAAATTCAACTGGAAACCAAAGCGAGATTTTTTTTTGTACTGTTATTTTTGAAAGTCTGAATTGAATTATTGCTTTTTTTTTGAAGGATGATTCGGTCGAAGGTATGACTCATGATCGAGTCTTGTACACATTCAAAACGAATATTATTGCCATGTTCGATCTTGCTCGTTATGCCATTCCTTACATGCCTAAAGGTTCATCCATCATTAATGTTGGCTCTGTTCAAGCGTGAGTTAGTTTTTTTTTCTTCACAAACTGTCAAATGCCTTGTTCATATTTGAAAGCATTTTACGTTAATTTGATTTGTTGTGTAAGTTTTTTCTCTTATCAGTTATAATCCATCGGCAGAAATTCTTGATTATGCTACTACCAAGGCTGCAATTGTTGGTTTCACGAAAGGTCAATGGATTCAATTGTATTCTTTGTTATTTTATGATTGATGTTCATTTTTAAAGGTCTTGCTGCAAAAATGCTTGAAAAAGGCATTCGAGTAAATTGCGTCGCTCCTGGACCTGTTTGGACTCCACTCATTGTTTCAAGCTTTCCAAAAGAAAAAATTGCACAATTTGGAGCGAATGTAAGTTTGAGAGTAAAAATCTCTCAATCAAGCATGAGAAAAATTGAGACGATTTTTATGCTAAAAAGAGAAACAAACACTTTTGTAATTTTTATTATTATTGCAAAAATACAGAAAATAAATGAAACAATGGAGATTGAAAATATCGAATTTAAACTACAAATTTTGCAAGTTTTGTTCAATAGCAAAATTTTTTAAATCAGAGTTTTGAAAACATTATGGTAAGCTATATAATTCTATTTCTTTGTATTATAGTCTCCAATGAAGCGTCCAGCACAACCTCGAGAATTAGCATCGGCATTCGTATATCTCGCATCTGGCAGGGATTCTTCGTATGTCTCAGGTGAAATACTCGCCGTCACAGGTGGTCATATAACAGCTTAAAAAGAACATCGATGACTATTATTCAAATCAGTGATTTTATGAAGAAAAATTAATGTGGCCTCTGGATTTCAATTTTTACGGTTTTTTTTTTATCGTCGATATGGAATTTGACAAAACTTTGTGTGCTCTGTAATAATATGTAAAAAATACGTTTTGCTGATGCATTTCTTACTCTTTATTTAGATGCGCTCATCAATATTGTATCTTTCAATATCTATGACAGATACAAAATTCGCTTTTTTTTCAGACTATATATATGTACGAAGTATAGCATCTTATAAACCTGCTTTTTATTTTGTTTCTGTATGCAAGTATGTGGTTTGTAATTATGTGACTAAGCAGCTTGAATGTATTCAATAATCTTTGTAAGCATATTCGAGTGCAATAATAAAGAGAACAAAAGAAAAAAGTTATTGACAGACGTAATAGTATATCCGATGTTGTCTATGTATCTTTTTCAGCTCATTTGATATTCTATTAGTAACATTATTACATAGTAATAAGTTGTTATTATTATCATCAGATATTACAGTCATAATGAGTGCATAATGAATATCTAAGAACGACAAGATTTGGATCATTTAGAGGACTAAAGGATTGGAAAATGTAATCAATTGATTGAAATGTTATCGAAGAATACTTTCGAGATTATCGATTCAAGCCCAGTTTTTTCAAATCAAATTATAGCACAATTGAAAACATTCAATAGTTCAAAAAAAATATAAGTCGCCACATGCTCCGTCAATGAGATAATTTCGAGAGGCATTTAAAAATAAAACTTTTGATCTTAGAAAACTGAATCATCAACCACATTACAAGCGACTTTCATAGTCATATTCAGGATTTAGATATTATATTATTTCTATAAAGTGATTAGATTACTGAAAAGAACTACTAAAACAATCAAAAATAGATATTTATGTGCAAGTAATTATCATCTCAAGTTAATTTCAAAAAAAAAATATTTCTTTACTATGCTATGTTTAAAACATTTGGCAACTTTTTCATTAATTCATCTTAAATGAAAGTTAAATGAAATTTCCTTATTTTAAACGGTCTTCATGTATTACGACCGGTTGTATTTATATTTTATTTACCATCAAATGCTGGGAATAATACTTTGTCCAAACATAAAATATTCACTAGATATTAGGCGAAACTCTATGAATAGTTGAATAGTAAAGGTGCCATCTGCAATAGCTATCCTATAGTACTGCCCAAAATTATAGATACACATGTTCGAGTGTATTTGGATGTGTTCTGTCTGTATGTGAAATTGAATTTACTTGACACAGCTGTCAGACTGTATGAAACAGGTGCTTCTCAAGGTTTGTCAATTTTTGCTTTGTCAAAATTATATTGACACTGAGAAGCAGAGAACTGGATTCTGAAGGTTTTTCATAAAAGCTACTTTTTACAAATGCTTTTAGTTAGACTTTATAAGCAGACTTGAGTACTCAAACTAAAATGTCAACAATAACATACGTTACTCAAATCAGTTTGTAATGCGTGAGAAACATTTTCATTCCTTGTTGAACGTTACAAACTCATTAGCGAAAAGCGTCTTTCATTCGAACTTGCATTACAAAGAATAGTTCCATTTCAATATCAATAATTCTAGCTGAAGTACAGACCTTGCATGACATTTTGCAGCCATCCTGACTTCAGTAATCAAGTCTGATTATAAAACGGAACCAAAACTATTTTTAAAAAATAGCTTTCTGCAAAGCGTCAGAATCCAATTCTCTGTTTCTCAGTGTCAATATAATTTTGGCCAACCTAAAATCGACAGATCCTGAGAAGAATCTGTTTCATGCAACTTGACGGCTGTGTCAAGTGAATCCACTTTCACATGTAGACAGAACATATCCAAATACACAAATTCACATAAATTTTTCTTTGTATTAGAGTACAGAAATTGGATTCTATAATTTTGGGTAATACTGTAGATCGATAGCCGATGATTGTCAGCCTCGATTGAATACGATATGAAAGCGTATGTGTACTGGATACATATAACACAATGTGCCTTTCATACAATACATGAGAGTCTTTTACGATTGGGTTGATTCCTACGCTAATAGTTTAGTAATTAATCGTATAGGTCCAATTGACCTAGTTTATACAAGTAATCGGTAGCGTTAACAAACATTGTTTTGCGTAAACAAACTTTGTCTAATTTACTGTTTCAGTTACTGTATAGGGTTGATATTTAATCGTTATTTTACCTTGAAAAAGTAAAGTTAGATAAAGTACCACCTCTATATCACCATGCGTTACTATCAAAGCTTTGTTTTTTCTCTATTGTAGAACGTGCCTATCGAGAAAACAAGGTACCGCTATGTCATCACTTTTATCTCTCAGTGTGTTGATAAACATTGTCGAAAATACTCATATAAGCACATACAAATGTGTGGTGCAGAAACCCAAAATGAATCAAACTCGAACCAATAAAGTCCAGTTCGATTGGAGCTTTGATAAACAAATCGTAGGATTGATGAATTAATTATTGAATAGGGCATTATTTAAGACATCGTCAATAGATATTGTAAAGAGGAATAAATTGCGCTCATTGTGCTAAAATTTTATTTGAATGCTTGACAAAAAAGTTTTGTTTTCTTTCTCTCTTCTTAACAATAGACACAAAAGATGTCCACTATGTTTACTGGAACCATTCATTGATTTTTTAGGACAATTTTCCTGGAAATAAAGTCTCTTTGAGTGAATGATATACGGTCAGGAAGCTCTTGCAAATGATAGGAGCTTGAAAACAAAAATACAATGTTCGGGTCATGTGACTGGTTTTTTCTGATTCTGGCATGAAACAAACATAGCTCATGAGAGCTGGTCACGACGAGTTTCGACTGAGAATCCACGAGACTGGATACCAGAACTATTGACCTAAATCTACTCTGCGGTAATAAAAGACAAAGCGGTCTAATTTAGATATTTTCTTTAAAATTGAATCAGTATATGAATTCAGATTGTATTAAAATCAAAAAGCATCAAGAATTTTTTATTGAAAAAGTGCGGCAAGAATACGTCGCGGTGGTTCAAATGATTTTCGAGCATGTAATACTTGTCGATTATCAATAAGTAAAACATCTCCTTTTTGCCATGTAAAGCTTACACTTGATTCATCGAGTATTGTCGCACATTGATGAATATCTTTCTCATTCATCATTTCACCATCAGCAAATGTCACAGCTTTTTTGCCATCATTACGTTTGTCAGACCAACCCATGTAGGCTGCTACAATAGAATTAAACCATGATTTTTTACCTGAAGAAAAACAGAGAGTATGTAAACACAAAAGATACTGAACATCGATACCAGTTCGCTCATCCAATCTAACAGCGGGCAAAACTTTCGTTATGGTTTTCAAACAGCCATCATCAAGCCATTCACAATCTGAATCCAAACAATTGTTCTTTCTTGACAATTAAAAATTTCATACATACCAGTGCCTTGCTCTCGACAAACTTGTTCAGCATGCTCACGATCTTTTGTTTGATAGGTCGATTGCCATCCTCGTCCGATGGCTGACTGTGGATCGTCACCATCGGGCAATATTCGGGTGTATCGTATTTGTTTTTCTTCTAATTTTCGTACAAAATCAGGCAATGCATTATTTATTCGATTGTAGACCATTGGTGAGTAAGCGATGGGTGTTTGACCACCGCTTTTAGACGGTAATTCACAAAAGAATAGTAGATGTTTAGGAAATTTCGGTACTTGTGCCATTTCATGGTGGAATGGAATAGGTTCTGATGGTGGACTTTCGTTTGAAGTAAACACGATGTCTGTCACTTGTTGACGCGGTGCTGCACCACCAACATAAGGCAACGGTATCCAGTTGAATGTGCGTGCAAATGTATCGAACTCAAGGGCATTAGAAATGGGAAAGTCACGAAAAAGAATAGCACCACAATGGAGAAGACGTGAAAGTAATTCATCACGATGTTGTTCCACAAATGAGACCACATCAGACAAACTTTTCAGACGGTCCGATGTCGGTACGAGAACAAGAGGAAAAGGACTACCGTCTTCGAGAGAAATTTGCTCAGGAAGCGATATAACAGAAACCATCGAATCCATTGTTGTAGTTCTTATCAAATCAACTCACTTTTATCTGTATCGCGACTGTTCTGAAGAAACAAAAAGAAGCATACTGCATTTAAATAGAAGGCAATATGTTATCACTCGAAAATGACATGTGACTCATTTTTTCATAGTTCTTATGTATGCTTAGTGCCAATGAACTTCTGACTTTTCTCTACCGCAATGATGTGTAAAATGCAGCACATGTGTTTTTTTCTCATCATTCAGAACAAAAAGACATTAAAAAACGTACTACGGGCACGACGAGCAGTTGACAACTTGAAATATATTTTTTTTTTGTTGTCTCTATTTCAATTGCGAGTAGAGGTGACACTTTATCTTTACTTTATCCAGTAAAATAGAGCACATAGACTTCACTTTACGCAATTAAGTAACCAATTAAGGGTTGAGTTTAGTATTGATTTATTAGTCTAACATCATGTACTGATACTGTTACAATATAAGAAAATTTTTTAAAAATCTTTTCTTTAATAATAAGTGTGAAATAAAAAGAAATAAAACATAAACATCAATAGTTTTTATGCATTAATATTTTAAACCTGAAGTGATTTTCAGGTCCTGGAGATAACATTTTGCATCAATTTCATCGGAATAAAATTGAGCTGCAGGATTCTTTTCGAAAGTAACAAATTCTGATAAAGTTTGATCAAAGGTTTTTAGAGTCAAGCAATTAAAATCTGTTTTCAATTCCTCAATCAAGTTACATTTACTCGAAAATGTCGTTACTCCGTTATCCAGTATCGAGAACTTCTCAACCCTATATATAGTAGGTTAGTGTAGCGATTGGCTTTTCTCTGCGCAATTCATAAGAAAAAGTTAATAGAGGACCTCATGGCTTGCGATGATAGTATGTTGGTTGTGTGGGTGGGTATGAGTGTGTGGGTGTGTGAGTGTGGGTGGGGGTGGGGGTATGAGTATGCGTCTTCTCTTCATTCATCCAGTCAGCTACATCTACACCTATTCACCCACCCACACCCTCAAGTTAGTTGAATACTAGAAAATATCTTGTCATTTATTAAATATTTCGAAGCTATTTAAATATTGACCTCGAGGAGCCAAAATTATTGTGAGGACGTTCAATATGACAGTTTAAGTCTGAAAATGTCTTGTATCTCACCAGGTATATCTGGACGAGTGCAGAACATCCTTACATCCTCGCATGTTCAGCCCATTTTGTTTGTTCATTCTATTCGAAGTCGTCAGTAGAACAAAAAGGTGAGAAGAAAACGAGGTGAAAGATGAATTCGATCCAAAAATATTCGAAACCTGACAAACACTATGATAGTAAGCAATGGTTTCACTAGAGATTTGCGTCAACTTCGATAGTTTAAATAGAAAAGTGACGCTTATCTATTCGATATGTAATTAAAACAGACAACAGAAAAGCGACTTGACTAGTCTGGAAAAATATTTGTGCTAGTCATAATAATTGTGTTTTCAAGGAAGGATTGTCTCTCCTAGTTCAGACTAGTATAAACTCTTTCCAAAGCCCCTTCTGTTGGTAATAAATAGGACCGAAACCTCATTTTGACTGACTCATATTAAAACGAGAAGTGTAGAATGTAGTTCAACAAATTTTTTGAGCATCTGCATCAGCTTTAATTATAGCTGATTGATAATTAAATGGCTAATTGTGTGAAACCTTGCAACTAGATCTATGCAAGTCCATATACGAGAAATCAGTCCGTATCATGCAAAAAACACTTTCCACTTTATAATTGAATTATGATATGGTCTAATACATAGACGATTAGACTTCTTACCCGTCCTGTGTTCCTCTGAGAAAAGATAACTGTTTATCTAAATACAAGTTGATGACAAGATTCGCCTCACTATTGCATCACTAAATGACTAATATCATTGTACAATGAGAAAATAAACTAATCATAATATTAAATTATTTTTAGTACGCTTTAACTCTATTTCACAAGAATTAATATCAATTAATCTTTCATTTATTTCTTTACTAAACCATCTACAAAAAGATTCAAAATAGCTTTCTCTCGTTTAAATCAAACCATTCGTTACCTGACTTCTTGATAGACTTGTTTTTTTCGGACTGATTAAATATCATAGACTGCCTTCGTCTTTATTTATTCACGAATTTTTGTTATATATATATGTATACACAAACTGAGCATGCAATGTACATTATGTATGACTGATAACATTATAAACTCACATTACTCATTTTCTCTAAAATCGTTTGTAGCTAATAGTGGCAATGCAGGTGCATCTGGTGATGGTATCTAAGTACACTGTCGACTCAAAAAAGTAAACGATTGAAAAAAATGTATGAGACATTGCTGAGAAAACGAAATAAAACAGAATGATATGATCTCTATATTTGTTTTTATGATTATATTTTACATATGAGGTAATTTTTCGTTCTTTTGATCTATTTTTGATGATGTATTATAGTTCAAAAAACTATTCGATTTAATATAACAAAAATAGCGACAGCAACAATCTTCTGATACTTAAATTCTTATATTTTTTCGAGTGTTCAACAGCCAGTAAAAAGTGATGCTTATTAATTCTGACTGACTGCTTTCTTTAGTTTCAGATATAATGTGCTAAATACATTAAAAAATATCTAGAATGGCTAGATACTTAAATAGATCCAAAGAAACATATCTCAATAGACTATTCTATTACAATAATTAGTTTTGATTAATAAATCTCAATTGAGTTTCTTATATAATGACACTTTATTTTTTCCGACAGTTAATAATGAACCTATTCGATAAAATCGATCTGTCAACATAATGAGCAGATTGTAGATTTTTCATTGAGTTTATATTTGTTTAATCATAAAATCATACATAACATTATTAGGAAAAAATACGTGGTGTGCTTGTCGAAAAAATAAGTGCAGGTATATATTATTATGAAATAAATTTCAAACACAAAAAAATGTGTTGATAATATTCTTAGTTGTAATTGTGCTTTGAATAAATTTCCTCGATGAATGTTGATATCTTGGAAAGAAAACTATGGGTGTAATCTTCGCATATGGTTACATCATACTGTCAACGGAAAAATAGATTACAAAACTTAGTTTAAATGAAGAGGGAATTTCAGGCATTGCTGAAGAACAAAAAGAGAAATAACGGATATATCTTGCATTCGCATGTTACATAGGCATAGAAAATTAAAAACGAAAATGTCAACACTTATGAAAATAGTAGATGTTAAGCGTAATATCTGAAATCTCTTTATTGTATATGGAGATAAAAATAATTCGACAGAGAATAAAGACTTATCCAGAATCTGTCGAAAAATTGTAATAGTTTCACAAAATGTCGCGTACATTCGTTGTTTAGCTACACTGATATCGAAAAGAAATTACAAAATTCTTGCTTTCAATCGTTTGAATGCACTTCATACGTGTTATGTTTCTACTACAACGTTGGTCAAATAAGTCAAAGGTATTGCATGTCGGATTTTGCATGGAAGCATTCGCCTACCCTGGAATGATTAAACGAAGATTTTTCAAAAGATCTTAATTTCTCCAAAACAAAGTATTCGATTATGAGTTGTCTTTGTGATGAGGTGAATCGTGTAGCACTATGATGACTTTTTTTCTGATTCTCGTTCATTAACAATTAGTCTTGTTCAACTGCTAGAAAGCATGTTTTTTACTATTGCATGATTCGAATATTTTGGCATCTTGATTCTCTAGAAAGCAAAATTTAGTCGCTACATTTCCGTCTAAACCAAATGATTTTTTATTCTGTGAAATGTATTTGTTGTCTAAATAAAACATGTCATTGTAACTTTGTTAAGCAAAATTCTGAAGTCTTTTGCTTTGTTTGAATTAATTATCTTTCAGTTCTGTTCGACGACTTCGTTTGTATTTGGTACAACTTGTTGCGGTTTTCGCCAGAGGATCAACTGTTTTGCAAGCAGTCGATAAAGTAACTCACAAAATTCAATGATACTCAGTGCACTTAGACCAATCCACCTTCAATAGATCAATTATAATACAAGACAATGCATGAATAGCAAAATCTACTTACAATCCAGTTTGGCCTCCGATAGCCGAAAATGTGTCGACAAGTGTTAATTTGGCCTGCTGTTTATTGATTACGACATACCGGCTACCACATGTGACAGTCACTCGTAGATAATTGATATCCATGTAAGCATCGTAGTTTGCTGCAAAATCATTTGGTAAAGCCACATTCGAATTACCATTTAGCAAAACATGAGTCCACATCGCTTTTTGTTCCACTGTTGGTGCTGAAAGCGCACTGGTATCATAAACAAAATATGTGTATGTACATTGTGAAGTACATCGAGAGCACCAAGTAGCTGTGAGAACGGAACTCAACAAAAATTCTTGCCGTGCAATCAATGCACACCTTTCTTGCGAAGTGGATGGTATACAAATATTGGCACTCAGCAAGTGACTGTGATCTAACGAGAATACATATCCTATGAGAAATGGAATAGGCAAGATACAACCACATTTCGAAAAGACAAAAGCTTGTTCACAGAACTCGTGACACATAACTTCAGAGTAGGCAGCTTGGCTAGCAAATTTAGACTCAAATATTGCTTCGTATAAATAATCTAGATTCGGTGGAACTGTCGATATACAATTCGTGTAAGGTTCAGGAAGGAAAATTGTTTGACTTTTCCGATATGTTATCGTATGAGCCATACCAGGTCGTAGTCTTAGGCCATTGATGACAGTCAATGGCAGTTCATCATTATCATGCAGTAGTACAATTAACCCGTCTTCAAAGAGTGTCGATGGAAAGTTTAGATGTCGTGGTAGGTAAAATATCATGGAAAGACCCTCGAACATTGCTGGAGTTGATGCCATATCAGCAACTGTAAATAATTTATCCATGGCTGCTTTCCAATTGAATGTAAAGCAATTACCAAAGACTGATGATAACGAACGAATAAAACTCGATGAACAATCAAAACCATTGTATTTGCATTCGAGTAACATATCGGAAAGC